TTCTATTTTTAATGACGCGTCGGCTAAAAATTAGGTGTCAACAAATATGCTCTTGGCGGAGACCATCGTTTCATTGAGCAAATACCAAAATCAACAAAAAGGTGTATTGCAAGCTTCAGCTGGATTACTTTCTGTATGGTTTATTTCCCATACTCGACCTTGGGAACATTATATGCACATTCGAGAGATCGACTCATCTACCAATCCTATTGAGAAGTATTTGAAACTCCAAGACAAAATGCCAAAATACTTTTTTCATGAGTGGGCAAACTTCATTAGAGCATTAACTCTCGACCAGTTTCAATGGAGAATTCAATGGCCGAAGATAGCGAAAGCTCAAATTACTACCCAAAACGGCAATTTGGTGCCTTTGCTTAGATTGAGCGGGGGAACTGCTTATTGCCCACTAAGAGTCATACGACAATTCGGAATGGTTCAACAAATTCCACCTATTTGGCATCTTGAGGAGTTCATATTTGAGATACCACAAAAACCCTATCGGAAAAGGAAGGAAAAGAGCTGCGAATAAGAGTTGATGGGATCGTGAATTCCTTGAAGAAATCAACCAAGCAAATAGTACAATAGCCTGAAGATTTGGAAGGAGAAATGAAGCTCTTTTTGGCATCCAACGAGTATATAAAGTGGTTGAAGGCTAAGCGACCAATCGACGTCGAATCCTATGTACCCTTGAGTGTTACTACTCATTTCGATGAGCCGTACATCCCAGAGTACATTGTGCCAAGCATGCCAGGTGTAGAGCCGTATGTTCCCGAAGAGGTTGTAATTGATGTGGAAGAATGGGAGACACGAGCCAAGGAATATGAAGAGGCTGAAGCTACCTTAACTAACAAGAAGCCTAGACTTGTTTAAGCTAGTGTTCTCCTATTTTGATGAATAGCATTGTAATAAAAATTTTCAAAATTGAAACAATTGTTTAATGAAGTTTCAAAGTATGTTTTGTAAAAAGTCACCATGGATTACAATTCTTTGAATTGTATGATTGCTTGAAGAAGAATATTGATAAGAAATTCTATGCAAGGCTAAGACTTGCATAAAAGCTCTTATCCTTGTTAATCATAAGAAATCATACAATTGAAAGAATGTAGGGTTTCATGATTCTTTCAATATGCTAACAATGGGTCTTTTTGTGAAGCAGGTTGTTTAGCAACGGAAGGTAAAAGACCTCGGACTCGCTTACAAGTTCGAATGGCGGAAGAAGAAACACGTGCTCGACTAGCTGAAGTCGAGAATCAAATGACCCAAATGGCTGCAATGATGACAAAAATGAAGGCTCTTATTCTTACATCCCGAGGACAGTATCCTACTAGTCCAAATGTGGGAACTTCAAATACTACTGAAACACCAATTGAAGAACCAGTCAGAAACAAAGAACCGGTTCAAGAAAATCCTCCAAAAACTACACTTGAGTTAGTAAACTTAGAGGAAAACGATTCAACCAAGAAGGCATCCAAAACAAAGGATGAAGAAAAGGCCAAGAGATTAGCCAAAATTGAAGAGTGCTTAGCAAGTCAAGGTTATGAACTTCAAAGGTTCGACAAGTTCTCGCCGTATGCGAAGATGGTTGTTCCAGAAAATTATAAAGAACCAGAGTTTGTGAGCAAGTATGATGGCACTGGTTGTCCCAAAAGCCATTTGAAATATTATCTCCGTAAGATGGCGAGATATTCAGATAACAAGCCACTTCTTATTAGCACATTTCAAGATAGTTTGAGAGGAGCGGCCCTCGCATGGTACATAGCCCTCGACATAGAAGACTTCACTGAATGGGATCATTTGGCGGGAGAATTCCTTCGCCAGTATAAGTTTAATGTTGAAGTACTCCCAACTAGAGAAGATCTCGTCAGAACCGAGAAATGGAAGAATGAAGGGTTCAGAGCCTATGCTCAGAGATGGAAAGCTGTTGCCTCACAAGTAAAGCTTACCATAAGTGAAGATGAGCTCATTGAGCTCTTTCTAAAATCATTGCCAATTGAGTATTATGATAAGCTTCATTTATCAGGCTATCAAACATTCACCATGTTGGTAAAAGTGGGTGAGAGAATTGAATGGGGATTGAAAGAGAAGAAAGCTCAAGAAACAGCCGCACAAAGGCCTTACCCCGGGAAAAAAGATAAAGAGCTCATCCGAGAAGTGGCTATGGTGTCTAGCCCAAATACTCATCAAGCATCGTTTCCAAAGCAATCAAATGTCGCTTGGAAAAATCCAAGGCAGTTTGAGCCAAATAATTTGATAACTCTATAAAAATAGAGTTATTTTATCTACTCTAGGTAATAAGGCTGCGTTTGGTACAGCATTGGGAAGGGGCTTTCAGCCCCGAAAGCCCCTTCCCAAAAATGCTGAACCAAACGGTTAGCATTGAGCATTGAAAATGCTCAAAACTAGCATTTTCAATGCTGAAAGCCCAATGCTATCAGGACTAGCTTTGGACTTTCAGCCTTGAACCAAATGCCAAAATCATTTTTATACTTCCCAAACTACCCTCACTCAAATTTCAATATTCCGGCTTTGCCCTCTCGTTACTGTTCATCTTCTTCACCAAAGGGACTCCGGCGAGGGCAAAGGGCCGGCGACGGCGAAGGTCCGGCGAGGTCGCCCGACCCAGGCGACGGCCGCCCGGGGTCAGGCGATCGCCCAGGCGCGGCCGCTCGGAGTCGGGCGGCCGCACAGGTCCCGCGACCTCGGGCGGCCGTCGGCTGGGTCGCGACCCGAGGCGGCCGTCGGCTGGGTCGCGCGACCCGGGCGGCCGTCGGCCTGGGGTCGCGCGACCCGGGCGGCCGTCGGCTGGGTCGCGCGACCCGGGCGGCCGTCGGCTGGGGTCGCGCGACCCGGGCGGCCGTCGGCTGGGGTCGCGCGACCCGGGCGGCCGTCGGCTGGGTCGCGCGACCCGGGCGGCCGTCGGCTTGAGGTCGCGCGACCTCAGGCCTCGTCGCCCGAGGTCGGCGTCCCTCGCCGGGGGTCGCTCGGCGACGGGCGACGGCCGCCGGCGCCCGATCTGGCTCGCCGGCGGCCGTAGCCCTTCGCCGGAGCCGTAGCCGTAGCCCTTCGCCGGAGCCGGCGAAGGGTATTTTTGCCTTTTTTTTAAAAAAACCCTCTCAAAGCCCATTTGTAAAAAAAATTAACCAAACACTACTTGGGTCAAAATAGCTTTGCAAATGAGTTTTTACCAAACGCCATTTGCATTTTTCCTAAAGGGCTTCCACCCAAAGGCATTTGCATTCCCAAAGTAGCATTCCAAATGCTGTACCAAACGCACCCTAAATAATGCAATATTTGTTAGAATATATTTGGATTTCCTTTTATTTACTTAATTTTTCCTTGTTTATGCAGAATATTGAGATATGGAGAAAATAAGGAAAATATGGCAAAAAGAATGAAAGGAATATGCGACCCAGAGAAGAGTTAGAAGGTGGATATCACATTGGGAATTCTGCGATTTATTTCCTAATTTTATGCGAAAAAGAAGTAATTGCCTTGTGAGAGGAGTCTTGGATGTTATCATATAAATAGGATAACTTGGGGGAACATGGAGTTTTTTCTTTTAGATCGTTTTTGTTTTCAGTGTTCTGAGAGTTTTTCAAGTATTTTGAAGAGAAGACAAAAGTGGTGACAGAATTCTTGTTCTTTGATTCAAGATGTTTGGTTTAATTTCTATTTTTGTTTCTTCTTCTATTATGTTCTAATTTTCTTTGTTAGAGCTACGACGTTGCCTAACCATGATGATATGAATTTCATGCTTTTTATGCTTTACAAGTAATTTCATTCATGTGAGTTATATATTATTGTGCTTAATGCGTTTAGGTGACTGGCCACCACTTGAATGATCTGATGTACATGTTTGAGACTGAGAAGTGATAATATGCAATTGCTCCTTATAATACATAACCATGAATTAAATGTGGATAGAAATATACCATGTTATTTGTGTAGCTTTCGGTGATAAGGTGTTCCAAAAGATTCATTGTAAATCGGGAATATTCACAGATTTTAATGTGCTTATGTTTATTTAAATTTACATAGAAATATAGTGAATTGATAAACTGAGTAGGTTTGCTATACCTAGATATAGGATAGTAAATAGACTAGGAAATTCCGCTATCACATGTTTGATATTGTTCTTGTATGCATAATGATCCGAAATTTATATCTAGTGGTTATGGTGAAATCGGATGCTCTAATATATTTTACCTGATTGATTATCTGCCTTTAGTTTATAAAATTTTGTTTTTAAAAATTGTCAATTTTTATTTGTTCTCAATTATATTTTGATCTGTTAGATAAATTTTAGAATTAGTCTATTTTTAATATTTAATTGGTTTATTATCATCAATCTCTGTGGGACGATACTCTTCTCATCATTGTATTACTTGTTCAACACGTTTATTGACACGTGCAGAATTTTACGAACAAGTTTTTGGCGCCGTTGCTGGGGATTGTTTATTTAATACCAATTAATATTGATACCGGATAATTTTAAGTTTAATCTAGCTTTTATCTTATTTTTTTTCAGAGTATACATTGATCCAGAAATCGAACGCACATTTAAAAGGCGACTGAGAGAACAGAGAAATCACATTAAAAAGATGGAGGGAGTTGATGATGGTAGAAATCAACGTAGACTCTTGAAAGATTATGCTGCGCCAACAGTTGAGGGCACCACATCAAGTATCAGGAGACCTGCAATTCAAGCAAACAACTTTGAGATCAAGCCATCACTGATTCAGATGCTTCAACAATCAGTGCAATTTAGTGGGCTACCAAGCGATGATCCAAACGCTCACATCGATGTTTTTCTTGAAATCTGTGACACAATTAAATATAATGGAGTTTCAGATGATGCTATTTGATTGAGATTATTTCCATTCTCTCTTAGAGACAAAGCTAAAGGTTGGCTCTCTTCTCTTCCTACAGGATCGATCACTACATGGAATGATATGGCCCAAAAATTTCTTGGTAAGTTCTTTCCACTTGCAAAATCTGCAAAAATGTGTACCGATATTACTAATTTTATGCAGATGGATAATGAATCATTGTATGAAGCATGGGAAAGATTTAAGGAGTTTCTTAGGAGATGCCCACATGTTGACACTTGATTTTTAGCTTATTTTTTTCATATTTTCAAAAATCTCAAAATTAGGACTAGGAATCTTGGCCAAGCCTAGAAACCTATTTCTAAACCAAAAAATAATTTTTTAGCATTTTTCTGCATTTTTCCTTAATTTCTTTTAGTCAAAATAAATGAGAAAATCAAGAAAAATAGCAAATGGAATCAGAAAATTCCATAAAAATAGTCATTAGTCTTATTTTAAATCCAATTTCATGAATACATCATCAATTTTGAAAAATATCAATCGGGTATATGTTTTTCCCAAAATTGGGCAAAATTAAACCCGAATTGAACCAAAAATGCAATTAAATCTTTTCTAGTCATTTTTAAGTCATAGTGTCTTCACAACAAATGATTCTGGGACCTTGAATTACATAATGGTCGGTCCAATTGTACAACTTGTCAAAGAAATCAGAAAACCCCAAAATTCAATTGAAAATTAAGAATTTTGAACCCAAATTTGGAATCGTGCCCAATATGAAATTGTTGAACCATGAGACCATCATTTCTAGGGTTAATCAGATGTGGGTAATTCAATTTTGACATCAATTTTGCCTAATCAGGTCATTAGGACATCAAACTGAACAAAACCCTATTAACCCGAATAAAAAAATGTGAAAATCTTGGACACAATTATAACAAAAACTGGGGAAAATCATATATTTGGGTTCGGAATGTGATGGGGAATTCAATTTTGGGGTTTAATATTGAAAATTGAGTCAAAATTGAGTTTAATTGGCGAATTTAGATCAACCCGGGTCTGCCGTGTCGACCAGGTCAACCCGATCCGACCCGGGTCGGTCACCTTCTTCGCCCGACTCACCAAGATGCACTAAACCCAGAAAAAACCATTTCAAGCCCGTGACTTAGTCGATCATTTCCGGTCAAATAAACACGTGTTTGACCTGAACGACAACCGGAGAATCTCTAGCTGTCGTCGGAGATCAGTTATAACCGATTAGAAATTGGTTCTAACGATCTTTGGGGCAGGATTTTTTATCAATGAAAAACTTAAAAAACTTGAACATTGTGGGGGCGAAGGTGTTTGACGAATTGCCGGAGAGAAAAAAGAGAACCAGGGAGCGAGAAAGCAAAAGTTTTGAGCGTGAGAGGCATGTAGAGGATCCCGGAACTGAGCGTTCGACGCTTCCTCCGGCGAGGAAACATCGGCAAATCAGTTTAGAGAGTGATCTTCCATACCTGAGAAGTCACAGATGAAGTTGCTTGTCAAGGCCTAAAAGATAGGTCTCGGCCGGTGCATACTGGACTTTCCTGGCTAAGTGGCGACCATTGACTGTTGTGTTTAGAGAGTAATCGTCCAGGAATCGCCCTACGGTTGTGGTTTGACTCAGAAATTCCAATCTGACTTCAACGAAGAAGGTAAAATTTGCTCATGCTCATAGTTTCATAAATTCCAGATTTCATGTTTCAGTTTTGTTATGTTTGATAGTGCCATTTTCTTCATGATTCTGAATTCATTGATGATTGAAACATGTTTCGGAATATATTTCCCGTTGTTTGATTATATCTTGGGTTATTAAATGGTATGAACCGAGTCGGCCGCCATTGTTGATCATCACCGGAGCTTCCCTGACCACACCGGAGTGCTGTTTGTAGCCAACAATCATTCAAGTTAGCCATTTCTATCTTCACTTGATGTTTTGATGTTGATTTGATTGCTAGAAAATGGCTAGGACGATCATAATAGGGGTGAATGTTAGAAAAGTTGGAAAGGTCAGTTTTGAGTTGGCATTTTTAGGTTCGGTTTTCGTAGGCCGGTGAACATCCGTCGGCGTTCCGAATAGGTTAGATTGAAAATAGAATGTATGGACATTACAATAGTGCAATCGGAATGGTGAGATAGTCGCCAGAAGGTCATTGGCAACGGGCCCAAAATGGTGACCCCGAAAACATTGAACTCCGAACAGTGCCCACCAACCGTTCGAGGAAATGCCTAAATGAGAAATGGTCAAAACGGCGCCGTTTTGGCTCTGGGTTTGTCGGAGGAGATGACCGGCGCCGGCGCCGGGGACGCCTGGTTCGGCCAAGCTGAACCGGACCGGTCTGGTTCACTACATCGGCGGGAATTTTAAAAAATAATAAAAAATGATAAAAAAATAATAAAAAATGAAAAATTTCATAAAAAATAAAAAATTCAAAAAAAATCTAAAAAATCTAAAAAAATTTTAGAAATTCGAAAATTTTCATAAAAAATAAAAAATTCACAGAAAAATAAAAAAATTAGAAAATTCATGAAAATTCAAAAATTCTCAGAAAATTCATAAAAATTCAGAAAATTTAGAAAATACAAATAAAAAAATTCAAAAAATTTAAAAATTCACAGAATGGTCCAAAAACACTGTGGCCAACCATAAAAAGTGAAATTTGAATTTTTAGAAGTGCCCAAGTTGCATTTTTAGAAAATCCCAAATTCAGGGGTTATAACCCCTAAAAAACCCTAAAACCCTAAAAAATGTAAATCATGAAATGAATAAACTTTGAGAGCTTCATTAGGGTATGGATGTTTTGATTGATTTTCATTTTCAGAGACCACTTAGGATTGATTGATTTGATTGACATTGATTGTACATTTAATGCTTGTTTGGTTTTTCCTGCGATTAGAATGGATAGAATTAGTGGGTAAGCCTTGAAAATTTGCATGACACGTTAGACATCGTATCGTTCTTAGGTACCGAAAGGGCGTTAGGGATCTCGATTCGAGATCAATAACGTAACTAAGTCCCCGTACTCAGAATCTCTGGTTCGTAGAATCGTGAAATTTCTCCTATACCTCGATTAGGGTTCTAGTCTACCTACCAATAAGGACTAGTGGCGACTCAAAAATCACAAACCTAGACTAAATAGGAAATTACCTTCCACTGTCACGTGAGGTATGGTCTGGGAGAGATCCTTACACGGAAATACCTCCTTAGCGTGCAAATCCCAAAAGCCCCAAAAAGCATGGCGCGACAGGCTTGGCGACTTCGCTGGGGAGTTACCTTTTCTAAGTGGACTTAGGCCTAGATAGAACGATATGTTTGTGTTTTGTGCTTGCAAGGATCCCAGGTAAGTCCCGCTAACGATAGTGTTAAATGATTTTGCAAGCGGGTGGTATAAGGGGTGTAGTCTTTGCTAACCCTTGTTTTGCAGGATGGTGTTGGATTGAATGTGGTTTGAATGAATTTTAGAAGTGCTGTTTGGTTATTAATTTCTATGCATGCTTTTAAATTGCTTTAGCACTACACCATTAGCACACACTACCCATGGCCCAACCCCGGCTACATTTAGGATTACCCTTAAGAGGTATGTGTTTAGGCGAAACTATGGGCCGATTGCTCATGGGATCGTTTAAATACAATACCGATCACCGAGGTGGAATAATATTTCATTACTTTAGGCCGATTGCCTATTGGAATGGAATTCCTTGTCCATTAAGGTGATGACCTTGAGCCTTTAGCATATCCTACCCTTTTTAGGCGTCAAAACTTCACTGGTTGCATTCGCTTGTCTTTGTGATTGGTATACCTAAAACCAAACAAAAATATCATAGTAAGCAAGTATCGTTCCATTCCATTCTTTTACAATTATGCATGTTAGTTGGCACATTCTTAAAAAAAATGCCTAAATGACATTCAATGCTTGGTATAAATACCCTTTCGTTTTAGAATGCATGATTAGGGTGTCATACTCCATTTGACCATTCTTTCATTTTTAGATGAAATGTATAGGGCCATGGCGGATTTCTCATGTAATTCAAATGCTTATTCGTTCTTTTCAATGTATTCGAAGTTGTAAACCATAGTTTAGGGCTTTATGGTCTAAATGGAGTATGACAGAATGGGCATTTACATCACACATTGAATTTGTCCATGATCTCAACTATATGCTCTTTTAAGGTTTAAACGGATTCAAAATGACATTTGCATTACTTTTGAGGTATGCAAGTGTATTTAACCTCCGTCCTACCTTAAAAGGACATATAAGTGAAATGGAGGCATTAAAATCAATTGGTAATCCATGGTGAATAATAATCACTTTCTTTTACATGCTTTAGATCAAAATGGGGAAACTAGACATACAAGTCATTCCTATTCCAAGGAAGGAGCTTTTGGCATGGTGGGTAAACATGACAAAGGACAACAAAGCATATGTAAGGGAAAGGCTCGGGTATTTGTTCAAGCTTATCAACTTGGAGTACCAAGTGAATCTAATCCAAGCATTATCCCATTTCTAGGAAGTTACCACTGCCACATTTCAATTGGGCGAGCACGAGATGGTACCTACACTAGAAGAATATAAGGCAACCATTGGGATTGATTTCGAGTCAAGAACCGTTGAGCCCTCGGTTGGATTGAAACCCACAAGTGTTATAGCCGAATTTTTAAACTTGAAGACCCCTCAAGTGGAAAAGTTGATCAAATCGAATACCGAGAGATTTCCTCTATCATACTTGGTGGACAATTCTCCAAATTGCCGAAAGAAACGGGAAATACTTCCGCGAGGGTTTTTATTCTGGCCTTCTTCGGATTCGTTTTATTTCCCGCATCAAGGACGAGATTAAATCCTCTCGTTGCGGAAGTTGTTAGGCAAGCTTACCTAAAATGGGACTTCTCCAATATGCTTTTGGCGGAGACCATCATTTCATTGAACAAATACCAAAATCAACAAAAGGGTATACTACAAGCTTCAGCTGGGTTACTTTCTGTATGGTTTATTTCCCATACTTGACCTTGGGAACGTTATGTGCGCATTCGAGAGATCGACTCATCTACCAACCCTATTGAGAAGTATTTGAAACTCCAAGACAAAATGCCAAAGTAGTCTTTTCATGAGTGGGCAAACTTCATTAGAGCATTAACTCCCGACCAGCTTCAATGGAGAATTCGATGGCCAAATATAACGGAAGCTCAAATTACTACCCAAGACGGTAATTTTGTGCCTTTGCTAGGATTGAGTGGCGGGACTGCTTATTGCCCACTAAGAG